GCCGCATTCTCACAGTCTCTGACGATGACCTCCTATGCGAGACCGAAAGCTCAGACTAATACATCAACTTGCCCGGAGATCGGATGTTCGTCTTCTTGATATAGGAATATTCAGACACCTAGGCATTACGAATTTTGGTAATTCGTCTAGTCCCTTTAAGTAATTGTTATTTTTCTTGTGCAGAAAATGTGTCCACACAATTTTGACAATCAAAAGTGCTCATAAATTCTAACTAAAGTGAACTTTGCGATACTTTCGGGCAATTGCCTACGCCAATACCTGCCTGGGATTTCCTTGGATAGTTGAGTGTGTTTTTCAGTGACAGGAGTGTAGTGTACCCTCGATAATTTTACGAGGCAGAGTTTGTTGTACGTGAAAACTGATTTTTTGTCTGACTCTACCCGTGTAAATCAGTTGGTTAACACATTTTATGTTTAGTAAACCAAGCGTTTTCGATTTCTAAAAGTTAGCTCTGTGTGATTTTATGCTCTAAAATGCTGGAAAAACGCAAACAGCCATCTCTTTGTTCAAATGAGCCACAATTACTTTGCTAATCGGAACGTATAATGCAGTGACATCAAAACGACTGTCAGTTTTGAATAAAAAGGAACGCTACCTTTATTGCGGTCTAGTTTTTGCGTATAAACCATCTAGAAATGGAACGAGCAAAAATTAAAAACCTAAAAATATCTCCATTTCTATTCATGAATTCTCCTTCTATCATGAATTCAGTAACGTAGAACAGAGCATAAAAGTGAACACTGATAAAGCATATGGTCGCGATATAAATTAAAAGGCATGCTCTTCCCTTCATGATAGAAATATATCATTATTTTTTTGCAACGCGAAGAAAACGGCTGAATATACTTTAATTTTTGGCTTTACCGTGTAGAAATGAAAAGTACGCAGGCGTCCACACATGGAATGTTGTATTAAAGCTCACCTTAACAAAGGAACTTCATAAAAGGTTTTCTGATTAATCGAAAGCATATTAGTTGTTGACATTCATTGTGGAAGTTAATTTTTTTCGACACAGAGTTTTTTATTTGGGTAAGACCTGACGTACGACACAAACGATCCTCTATGTGAAAATGAACGCCCAGAGACTGACCACTTCCGTAAATGCCTTTAAGAAGTATTTTATTTCCAAGGTTTTTATGAACGCATAATGCAGCATCTGTCGTTGTAAGTAATCTTTCAAAAACACTGAAATTTATAAAGTGTTTAGCGATATTTTAAGGTCAACTCGAAATTCAGCGTAAGCTACAACAAACAATAAGTGCAGACTAATTTTATGGGGGAAAATTTCTTCTTATACACATGGAATGGTATGCCTACGAATATGTAGGCAAATCAATTTCAATTTTTAGTCGTCAACCGGCCTGAAAACATGTAACCATATGAAAACTTTGATTCCTACAACGTCCCCATAGACAAACTTAAGCAAAACCTTGGTTGTTAAGTTGAGCCGCATCTAATCCAATGTAAAACGCTGAAAAAACGAAGGCTCTAAAAACTGTTGTATAATTTTTACTCTGAAGTTATGCTGTTAACAAGCCGCCATATCTGGTATTAGGTTAATTCGTCAAGTATATGTAGATGTAAAATCCGCTAAAGGACTACCGTCGAAAATTAATCTATTTCTGCAGTCGTGCATTTTCAGTTATTTGCATGGACAGACTTCCTGAACATCGAAACCAAGGTTTTCTAAATCTTTACCGTTTTTGGCATTCTCGCAATTTTCCGCATTACTGAAAAAATTGGAATTTCTACATATCATTATGATGCCTTTGGCATTTCTTTTATATTTTCGATTCCCTTTAAGTTGTTTTTTATCAATACTTGTACAAGCAAACAATTTCAGAAATTATTCAATGCAGGACGTAGAGTTAGGTCTCCGGGACATGACGTTTTAGGGTCAGACCTGAAATTTCCACACTTAATAATTTCTGGAATTATTTGCTTGATTATTTTCTGGAGTTCATATACCGAAAACCTTATACAGAGCGCTGAGGGGACTCATTGAGGTGCCAAATCCCACGCATCGGTGTCACGCAGAGGCAGAATACGGTATAATACCTTTACCATATATATACATACGCATCTATTGGATGCGCGCAAATGATTCGCAATCATTCCTATGTTTCGGCATATTTAGTCAGTTAGGTGACCTAGCATAAATTTTACTGATGGCATAATGGTCTTCTTTGGTGTCATCTCTTTCTTAAATTCCATGCGAATAAATTTCGAAAAACAACGCACGGAAGAACACCTGAGGTCCTACAACACAGATTTGGCCGAAACTGCTTTACTTGAACTTATGACAAGGTCTTCTTTCGACGAACTGTATAATCAAACAGATCTGACGTGAGGAATCTGTACCTTTTTTGTTGAAATCGCAATATAGAAACCAGAGGCCATGGCACTTGAGTTGATTATCACTTAATGCTTGCTGCAGTATGCAGACAACACACTCTTTGTTACATGGACCACCCAGGAATGCTCTTCAGCGTTGCCGACTTAATAATCTTGCGAATCAAATTTATGCCCTTAAGGAAAGTTGACAATAAATACCCATTTCTAGATTTTCTAATGCAACATAACGCTGACGGAAAATTACTTACATCGATATGCTGCAAGGCAAATTATGCGAGATTCGTTACGAGAACAATTCGCCATCTCCCACAAACTAAATGTTCCCAGAAGTCTCCTATTCGTTTATAATTTCCCGTCAAGTTAGTCTAATGGTAGATTAATGACCAATATCTGTGACTCATGTAACATTGACAAACTTCGTATATTTCCTATTGAATTGACCGTACCGCTCAATTACATCGCTGCTCCTATTCATCCTCAAGCCCTTTTGATGCTCATTTAGTAGGTTCGATGTCTCGGGCTTCCAGACTAATTGTCGAGTTCATATACCTGTAAAGGTGATTTTAAATCTCGCAGTCGCCTTGTTAAGAGGTCTGTAGAAGAAGAAGCATATACTGGATTGCTGATAGTTTGCGATATGTTCGCAGTAAGCTGCCCATCGCATCTTATACCAATACACTCCAGTGGACAGGTAAAATTACACACCCTACAGAAAAGACATTGCATAAAGTTTTATTTTACTGGTGTCCCAGGATTTTTTTGACTCGCGACGACTAGCAATAGATCTTACTTTCTTTGCTATCACAATATATTTTATAAAATGGTGCACGGTGTGCTGTAGGCTGGAACATGGAATTCATTTGTGCGTTTGCCGTAGGTACGTCAGGGCACTGGAAGAACGTTGCTTGACTTTTTAATAAGGAGAATACTTTCCTGCTGTTATACTGCCAACAATTAGCACTCTTCTAAATGTAGCATAGGTGACGCCACCTGAAACTGTTAGCGCAGAGACAGCCAGGAAGTGAACAATGTCTTCTGAGCAATACACTAACCAAACCACCAAAAGAATCGGTAAACTCAATGAACACTTCTACTTTGCTGCGTCCATCCGCACAGCTCTCATGCGTGACCCCGCAAGGTTCTACCCAGCATGACGGCAACACCCAAACAGACCTACCTGACCGACAGGCTAAATCAAACGCTGCCCGATGTTTATGCGACTTGACATCCGGCAGTCCCTGAAATAATCCTCATCCCCCCTTTCCACCCTTAAACAAATGCTTCTTCCTGAAAGAATCACTTACAATCCAAATGAGCAGCTGGGACCCATAGTGGAATTCGGCAGGCTCTTGGAATGACTCGATAGCCCTATTTTAGGATAACACTGTTTACTCCAGTCGTCTGTTAATCTGGCGACGTGTATAGCGCGGAGTTTCCTTTATTAGGAGCGATAAACCATACGCTTGCCTAAAGAGGGCTTTTGCGCAAATGTGCGTCGTCTTGAGATTCGCAGGATGAAAGCGGAGGCAAATCGGCTATTGAGACTGCAGTTAATGCCATCTCGAAGGGAAGTTTATTTGGAGATTTTCCTTGATATCTCTCTTCAATTCACGTTTTATGATGTTAGCAACAGGAAACTCTAAATCAGCCCACTTATTCTCTTGTTCGGTTTTGTAATAAGTGTGCAAGAATTCACAGACGGTCGTCTTAAACCCTGACATGCTTCCGAATTTTCGAAAGCGACCTTGCTCCTTCCTTCAAGTTCTAGAATTAGGGACGTTGCTTCCGACGAAACGAGCGCAAGAAACGCCCTTTTATGCCTATTTAACAAAAAATGCAGTTAAACTTATGCAACTATCTGATGTCAGCAGAAATATAGCACGACAACTACACTCTTCCTAAAGATTGCGCTCGTGACATCGGCTTAGAGCCCTAAATATTGTTTTAACATCGGCAGACACTGTTGAATGTTCAACGAAAGACTTCCACTATGTTCGCTTTAATCCACTATTGGTAGGCCAAGAAGATACCCATAGGATGGTTTATTTTGCTGGTGGGCATTAACGCGGACGGCATTTTCGTGGATAGGGATACGATGGGCGGACACATGATAGTCAGTCAAAAGGACAGGGGGGGTGCCTAACGAGTTTGGCACATCCGACTTCATCGCCGGTTGGTGGGGAGGATTTGACTGTTAAAATTTAAAATGGATAGACAAGTCTGCAATGGTGCCTATGCACAAAATATAAGTACTTCAGAAAGAAGCGCTACACAAATGAAAACATAGCTCGTGCACCGATTGGGTGGGAGGGTGAAGGTCAGCAATATGGACAATCGAGTCACTTTAAATAAGCAAACCAAGACTAGGTGCTTACACGGACACCGTACAGGAGTCTCGAACATCCGTCTCTCATCACCGCATCTGTTGCACAATCGAAAATAGTCAAGTAATCAAGAGGACCACGCAAATCACAGACAAAATAATGGACAGTGCGTACTGGGAGTGTCCGACTAGCGTGCCGCCGAAAGATGTCCTTTATGTCGTTAGCGTCCTCGTGGCGTGCTTCAGCCTGTTGTTCAATCTTGGTTTGTTCGTTCTCCTCCTTCTTCTAAGGGGCAAAGCAATGATGTTCCTTGTGCACCTGCGTGCCCTAATTGCTGGTGCCGTCCTCCATAGTTTCATCGATGTTTGCAATTACCTGATGCCCCGCCGCCTTTTTCTCACCGACTCTTTGTTTGCCCCGACACTGTGCCATCTTTGGGTGAGCAATTACCTCCCGATGGTCTGTTTGGCCTTCATGGCCTTGGTTCTAAATTTTATTGTTGGAAACAGAGCCATCCAAATTGCTTGCAGATACCAGTACTCGTTTTCCACATCCCTCCTTACCAATCTCGCCTATGTGGTCGGCATGGGTCTTCTCAGCATAACCGTGATGCTGCCACAAGCTCTCATAGTGTACTGGGATGGCAAACGTTGCCGCTGTCGTGACACCAACCTGGCCTATGGACTCCTGGTGTCTCTTTACACGGAGACCTTCGTTCATTTTGGCCTGTCTGTAGTAATCAGTGCCATTATCCTCGGCAAATCCTGTCACAAAATTATCACCTGGGTGCGTAACACACCAGCCGACCAGCTCTCCGATACCTGGAACAATCTGGCTTTCTCCTGCACTACTAAGGAGCAGATTGAGACATTCAGTCGACCCCAGGGTTGGATGACTGCGTCCATGTGCACTTTGCCCCTTTCGGTGGCCTACATAATACCCATTATTTTCAAATCAGGCCATGAATTTTTATGTGCTTCGGGAGTGTGTAAATTGATTCGCTACTCTCTGTTATTCAGGGTAGGCAACCTTCTGGTAGATATCCATCTACTCATACTGCCTATCATCATCATCATTTTCATTCCGGCACTGCGGGATCTACCCGTGCGGCTCTGTCAAAGAACCATTTGGCTGATCAAAAAGCACTGCAGGACTGCTCCTACCGAGGAACTTGGCTTCAGAATTTCCTAGAAATCATTTGCAGAATAAACGTCATCTTTCAACATTCCATCGTAAATAACTACCCATTTTTCGCTATAGTTCATTAAAATTGACATACGAAATATGCCAACAAGACATTAACTCTTTTGCAGGCCGAACTACAGAACGTGGTGACCTCCATGATTTTATAATCAGCACAAGTTAGTTTTATTTAAGAAAAATAATGGATTGATCAAGGCTATAATTATTGCATTGGTTTCCGCTGTCAAATAACTGCCTATGATTCTGGCTTCCTACTGTGTATCGTTGCTGTAATAGATGAGGTGTGAGACGTGGCCATTTTTTAAAGCAGCTAGATCGCAGTTGGTAGCCAGGTAGCAGGCGGCGACCTTAACCCTAATCCTAAATTTAACCCTAACCCTAACTCTAACCTCAACCTTAAACGTCAACCGTTAACCCTAACGATAACCCTAACCCTAACCGAAATCGTAAATGTTACCGTAGCCCTTAGAGATAGTCGTAACTGAAAAACCTAACCGTTGTACTGAAGCCTAATCGTACACTCAAACCCTAACCGTAAACTGAAAACCCAAGCCTGAAGGCTTAACCCTAACCCGAAAATCGGAAACTATTAACCGGTACCCTAATCCTAACCTCGAACCTAAAACGGAAGCCAAATGGGGCAGATGTGTTTATGGAACCTCACAAAATAGCCCCAGTAAAGAATTCCCCTCCCGCCACCTGTAATACGGGCCTGGCTACCAACTGCGATCTAGCCGATAGACGCACAACTGCCAGGTTTGCAATAAGAAATGCCTGCAAGATCTTACTCCGTAGCCTACCTGTAAGGGGTTAGGATTAGGGGTTAAGGTTAGGGGTTGGGGTTAGAGCTTGGGGTCAGGGGTCCGGGTTAGGGGTCAAGGTTAGGGGTTGGCGTTAGGAGTGAGAGGTTGTGGTTAGGCGTAGGGGTTGAGGATTAGGGTTGGAGCTAGGGGTTGGGGTTAGGCTGGGCCGTGTCAACTGCTGGTACGGCTACAAAACGAGATCCGACCCGTCTATCATCTAGGGAATGTTCGGCTACAGTGTTATTAAAATCGTTTAAGCACTGATGATTCCCGCGTGAGGCACCGGGGAATATTATGGATACTGCAGCTTCGCCCCGTCCTGCCATTCATATATCCCATTCGACTCCACAAAGCCGTTCCTAGTAAGGCAGTCGAACTCAAATAAACGTCATTGATCGGCGGGGCAGATCGAATGGGAATGTCCGTAATGTGTCCATCAGTTATATCCATAAGCTTTAGTTCTTAATCATTTACGGTATGTGAACTAACCCATGAGACTGAATGATAGGTACACAGGTAATTAATTCGGTGGGCCTCAAACGTCGCGCATTTGCCAACTCCGATCAGGAAATCGTTCTTTTTTTATATATGCTATGTTGATAAGTAATTTTCTGAGGCAACTTTTGTCCTATTTAAACGGAGATAGATGCTAACTCATATCTAGACAATTTCCTATTTTGCTCGCTGTCCTGCACCAAGTTTGGCCATCCATGCGTTTTTCATTTTAGAAGAGACTAACCTGGATTCAAGAGTTTTATCGAAATACGTGCCGCACTCCAAAAGTTACATTTTTAGTCGCCACAAATCAGGTTAAACGGGATGCAAACAGACCGGAAATGTTTGGGAAATTAGATGTTTGGTCGATTTTAAAATAGTCTAACTGCCAGTCTGCATGATTTTCTGTTTTAAATACACTAAGTATGCTCAGAGGTAATAATTTTTTCAGACGTACGTGCACCTTCCTGACATTTTATAGGGTGTTGTGAAGAGGTCCATAAAAATGGCCATGTTGACTTTTTTGCACACCATACAAAATTTATGTATGGTCTATTTTCTTTTAGGTGGTAACGTAGAAGCAAAATGACCGATAATTATCAAAGCAATATATCGGCATTAAGATGACAACTGTTTAGCATTTAATATTACAGAACAAAGCTTAACAGTAAGCGTAGGTAAGTAGAATGGTCCCAGTATGAACAAAAAAACAAGTTCGTTCTTTTGCAACAAAAAAATTATCAATGTTTTCCAGGGAAACAAAAAGCCAGTCAAGTGGTTAGGTTGATTCCTTTACTTTTCCTCAGAAAAACGCCAAGCTTATGATGTCCAGCAGTAGAATATCTTACTAATGCCCTTTTTAGAATAAATTGCCAATAAAAATGTTTAATGAAGATCCAGAGCAATTTTCTGGCCGGATTTCATTGTGAATGTTCTTTTTTCTCGACAATGCAGTTCTATGTATGGATGAGCATACAAATATCCATGACCAAAGCGATCATTTGGATCAAAAAGAATATTCAGAAGCTTGCCGCTTCACTGAATGGTTTCAATATATGTCTTGTTCTGAAAGTCTCAATAAGCGCATAAAACAGACCTCATCATAGTAGGCAGCTGATTTGAAACATTGAAATTCGTTAAGTTTTTACCGTCCTTTCAAAAACACCCTGAACCTTAACGGAAGCCACTGTAATTTAAAACAACGTAGACAGCTTGCGGTGAAGGCGTTTTCTTGATACGTACAAAATGGCATGCATATAACTGAATGTGCTATTTCTATTAAAATTTAGTACTTACTAACCATCCTGTCCACATGTAATCTTGGCCAAAATTGTATTCCTTTGAAGTCCCTGTCGGTACGGGCAAGCTAATTCCCATCTGCCTGTGCGCATTGCACATCAGATACTGTACCCACGAAAAAGGTTTAGGCAGAAGTCTTGAAAATATTTTGAAATTTACCTTCAAATCTTGAGAGATACTTAGGTACACAATCCAAAGACCCCTCTTATCAAGCGTTTTTCTTCAAATACTGTTTCATTTGCTTAATTGTTTATAGCTACGCCCAATGTGCTCCTAAAATTTCAGAGTTTGATCAATTAAGGTTTCTAATTCTTTACTTTTTAGCACCGTAGTGCTACTTTTTATATTAACTTTGACTTTTCGTTTTACTTGATGTTGGGCTAGTTTACCAGTGATGAGAGATGTTTCGTAAAGTTATCCAGGCACAGTGCATTAGGTTACATAGTGTAAAGTATGTGGGTTAACTCATAAAATGTCAACCGAAATTCAGAAATGCGTCTTCGTTTCGAAAAGATTAAGTAAGTAGGGTTGTAAAACTATTCAGCCTGCCACACAATTCTATAATATTTCGGTTACCTTAGAATGCTGGCTTTCGAATGGACTTCTTTCCGGTTGCATGCAAAAACTACATTCTTTAAAAAAATGACTTATTATGTAGCATGATTTTTTCTCATTGATTTTCGATGCTCCTAAATGTCCAATTATAGTTCATGGAAAAAGTTATAAAAATATTCATTATTTTGCTCATTATGTAGACAATTACGTCTTTTTCTAGGTTTTTACTCAAAAGAGTATAATTCCTTTTTCAAAACCGCTTCCAATTCCCGAATAATTTTGAATCCGCTTTACTGTTACACTTGGATTCGGGGTTTCCAAAATACAAGTCGTATATTTTCCGCGTAAGAAAAACCACACATTTCCCTAAGGTACTAAGGGGAGGGACATATAGGGTTCGTAAAATTAAGCAATGGATTTGATCCATATTGCTAACTTTACGAGCCACATTGGTCAATGTGGAGACATGATGATTTATGAATGGTCGTTTCACGGTATTAAAAAGTCTCACGATTGTAAACTTTTTTAAAACCGAATTATACTCCCCCTTGGAGTATAAAATTAAAAGAAGACAAGACAATCTACCGTATGAGAAAAAAAATGAATATTTGTATGCATGTTTTCAATGAAATATAATTAGACTTTAAGAGGCATCGAAAATCAACAAGAAAAATTCATGCTTCTTGAGTAGTAATTTTTACAGAGTGTAGTTTTTGCAGGCGGCCGCAAAGGAGTTCGTTCAAAAGCCGGCATCCTGAGGTAAGTGAAATATCACAGAATTATGTCGCAAGCCGACCAGCTTTACCACCCCACTTAAGTAATCTTTTCGAAACGAATTTCGGTTGACATTTCATGAGTTAGTACACCTACGGTAGTTATGGTTGCCTACTCAGCCGCGCTTTTGAGATTTACTGATATGGTTGTCCTAGACACTATCATCCCATTCACTTCCATCTTCTAGTACCCTAATATTGAGCATGAGTGTTATACAGCCGCATAAGAAGATGTATATCCTATGACCGACAGTGTAATGGCTGCAGGAGGGTGGCTTGCGCTGCAACTGCTGCCCTATCTCCACTTTATTCACCCAAGTCCGTTGGCAGAGCAGAATCACGAGGATCATAGGCGGGTTTGACGACAGCGTCTGACAAAGTTAAACAGCCTATCCACGCGTGCCGCTCAAGATTTCGTTTCAAAGAGGTAGCGCCAATCCCATTTAAGTGGAAGTGCCACAGAGTCCACACTGGGAAGGGAACATAAGGGCCTGTCTCAACACCCTGACAGGATCGGGTTATACCGTCAAATGCTAGCCTTGGAGACCACGATTTTTAGTCCCACGTGATATATTAAACCGCGTCGGATTGTTTATAGCAATCATTCAGACGTTGCAGCAGTTGCGTCCCTTGTTTAACAGATTTTTCCGTTTATTTCTTTTATTTGGTAAGGGTAATAGACAGAGCCTTTGAAAACCCTATTGAATGCATGTCAGCTAGTTAGAAATAACTGTACACGAACAATGAAAATATTCGCTATTAAAACAGTACTTAATTCATTTGAGTAGCATTATCTCCGAGAAAAGTGTTCGGGTCGAAATTAGAGGTTGATGAAACTTGTACTGTAAGTCTAGGCTATGAATTGTCTCACAGATATGGACACATTGTTTAGAAAGCAGATGACGTACAACTTTATCACCCTCTCTCACTCCAGCTCTTGGGCCTTACCATTTTCCTTTCACATCACGCCCTCTCGATTGTAAGTTTGACAAAGTGGATTGTTTAAACGGTTAAGACACACATTTACTTGTATTCGCAAATATTTACAAATGTGCGGTCGAAC